TTTTGGTATTTTCACGCAAATTCTTCTGCTAGTTGGGGTTTAGTCCAATTCTGTATCCTTCCCTTCAAGGCTCAGGGGTCCAAGATTATCTTCTATGTCTGTGTTAATTGGTTTCCCTTTTCTTTGTTGAAGAGGGTCTTTGCAATCCTTCTGCCTAGTCCGCCATCTTGCCGGAAGCCTCCGGATTACATCTTAATATAAAGAAAACAAAAATACTCACAACTGAACCTATAAGCAGCATCATGATCAATGGAGAAAAGATTGAAGTTGTCAAAGACTTCACATTTCTTGGCTGTATAATTGATGCCAGTGGAAGCAGCAGTCAGGACATCAGACGACATATAGCACTGGACAGGTCGGCTGCAAAGGACCTTTTCAGGTGCTGAAGAGCAAAGATGTCTGCTTGAGGACTAAGGTGTGCTTGACACAAGCCATGATATTTTCAGTCATCTCATATTCATGTGAGAGCTGGACAATGAATAAGGAAGACTGAAGAAGAATTGATGTATTTGAGTTGTGGTGCTGGCAAAGAATGCTGAAAGTACCATGCACTGCTAAAAGAACTAACAAATCTGCCCTGGAAGAAGTGCAGCCAGAATGCTTCTTGGGAGGGAGAATGGCCAGACTTCATCTCATACACTTTGATCATGTTGTCAGAAGGGACCATTCCCTAGAGAACGATGTCATGCTTGGTAGGGTGGAGGGTCAATGAAAGGGGAAGGCCCTCAATGAGATGGATTGACACAGTGGCTGTGGTGATGGGCTCAAGTATAGCAAGGATTGTGGAGTTGGCATGCACTGAGGAATGTTTCATTCTGCTGTACATAGGGTCTCTACAAATTTGAGATGACTCAACGGCACCTAACAACAACAACATGGTGGATGATAAGCAACACATGACTATAATTTCTTTCTTTATTTTCTGAGGTGTTTATGGAAAACTCCTTTGGGTGAATCTTTATGTGTGTGTGTGTGTGTGTGTGTGTATGTATATATTACTCTTTTTTCTCTTTTATAGATTCTTTCTAATGAAGAAAAGAGATCAAATTATGATCACTATGGAGATGCTGGAGAGAACCAAGGGTACAAGAAGCAGCAACAGCAGCAAGAGTATCGCTTCCGCCATTTCCATGAAAATTTTTATTTTGATGAATCATTTTTTCACTTCCCTTTTAACTCTGAGCGGCGGGACTCAATTGATGAAAAGTATTTATTGCACTTTTCACATTATGTGAATGAAGTGGTTCCAGATAGCTTCAAGAAACCCTACCTCATTAAGATCACCTCAGACTGGTGCTTTAGCTGTATCCATATTGAGCCTGTTTGGAAAGAAGTCGTCCAAGAACTTGAAGGATTAGGTGAGATAAATTTATTTATTGGAAGATGTTTATATAGAAGGTGATATTTATATCTCTTTAATTAGATAGGATATTGGGGAGAAGGAGCAGTTTGTATAATTTTCCTTCACAAGTTCATGGTGATTGATGTTTTCCAGGGACACATTTTCAGAGAGGGGAAATGTATATGCCATTTTCATTTTGTCTTACTAATTTGAAGGTTTTTCTATATTTTTCTAACATCCAGTTGGGAAACTAATATGTAGAAGCTGCTCAGAAATTACTGAAATATTATTAAAATACAGAAGCCAAGCATCAATTTTAACACCTGTGGATTTTGTAGATAATTCTGATGATAGTTTTTATTTCACTGGGTAATGGCCATGGAGTACCACTCTCAGTCATGGATTCCATACCAGCCAGACCCACTGCTGTTGAGTCAATTCCAGCTCACAGCAACTATATAAGACATACAAGATTTTCCTATAAATCTTGACAGAAGCAGACTGCCACTTTTACAGAGTGACTAGTGGGTTCATACTACTATCCTTTCAGTTAGCAGCCAAACGCTTTAACTACTGTGCCACCAGGGCTCTCTGATCACAAATTGTTGTTGTTGTTGTTAGCTGCCACCGAGTTGGTTTTGACTCATAGCAACCCTGTGTACAGTGGCATACAACAACACTGCCTGGTTCTGTGCCATCCACAAAGTCATTGCTGTGCTTGAGCCTATTGTTGCAGCCACTGTGTTAATCCAGCATGTTAAGGATCTTCCATATTTACCACTTAAAACCAGAAAACCAAACTGACTGCCATCGAGGCAATTCTGATTCACAGCAACCTATAGGACAGAGTAGAACTGCCTTATAGGGTTTCCAAGGCTGTAAATCTTTACAGAAGCAGATTGCCTCACCTTTCTCCCACAGAGTGGCTGGTGGTTTCGAACCATTGACCTTTTGATTAGCAACTGAATGCTTTAACCGCTGTACCACCAGAGCTCCTGTAAATTTACTATTCAGTGCCAGGAATTAAGGGTCTCTGTACATAGTGCCTAAGGCATTTTGACTGATAACCAGAAGGCTGGCAGTTCAAACCCACCAGCCACTCCTCGGAAGGAAGGTTGGGTAGTGATACCACCTCAGAAACCCAAGGAGGGGTTGCTGTGAGTTGGATCAGACTCGACAGCAGTGAGTTTTTTTTTTTTTTTTTTTTTTTTTTTTTGGTATGCGTTCTGTAGGTACTAGCAGACCTGCTATTGAGGAAGTAAAAAGAGACAGACTTCAACATAGGGGCCTAGATTTCTCAGAATATACTGCTGAAGACCATTAATTTATTTATTCTAAACAAATTTTCAATCTGTTGTTCACAAGCACTGAGGTGCTTAGATTTGCAAAATGTTTTCCTGATGCTGAGTAAAAATCTTGATTACTCCATGTGGTGGGCAGACGGTAGAGGTGTGCTGTCGTTGCATAAATGCATGTTTAAGAAGGTAAGATTAGGTAGAAGCCACTGGATTGAAAAGCTTCTTTGCCACAAACCTAATTGGATTTTATGCTACACTAAATAATACACTGGAAACTGTTTAACCACTTTAGTCTAGGAGCTAGCATTAAGACCCAATAGCAGAACATGAATGTTAAGCCATTACATGATTTAGGATAATAATGAGTTTACACCATCAGGACTAGGGCAAGATTACAGTTTCAGCATACCAGACCAGCAGAGATTACAGTGAGGTAGAATTACACAGTGGTTGTGACAGATGAGCCATTGTTTCAATCTCTGCTCTGTCATTTAGTGTCTTTGTGTCCTCGGACAGATTACTTAACTCAAGTTTCTTCATCTCCAAAAGTGAGTAATAGTGCCAAGCTAACAGAATCATTATGTAGTTTAACTGAGGGGGAAAAAAAGGTGTTTTCTCCAAGCATGTGATATGTACTAAGCACTTAATAAATGAACCTTAGAGAGTTTCTAGTTAACTGGGTTTGTGGCTTATAAAAATCAATTTTTTGAAGTGCCTATTTTATGAACCCTTTTTCAAAATCTATCTTAAACTTACTAGCTTTTTCTTTAATTCACTGATTATCAGCCACCAAGTTTTGACTTATTTTTGAGCTGAGCTGAAAAGGTCACTAGGGGTTGAATGGGCGGAAAGTGGAAGAGTAGCTCCAGATGCAGAGGGAAGGATGCATGCAGAGAAACGAGCACTGAGTGTGCACAGAACAGCAGCAGCTCGGCGTGCCTTGCGGGTGGGCTGTGTGCATGAGAGGGGAGAGCAGGAAGAGCATGTTGGCAGCAGGTAGGAAAGAACCTTAGGCTCCAGGCCAAGGAAACTGGACTTTATTTTGTAGAATGTAATAAAACCTAGAAAAGTTTTTACCTAGAGGAGTGACCTAATCAGATATGTACTTGAGTAAGCTGTGTGAAGGACTGTTAAAGAAGTAAGAATAGATGCAGGGAAATTACCGGCCCTGACAAGAGACAACCAGTAGACTGAACTAGGAACAGAGAGTTCTGGACAAGGGTAGGGCGTTTCAAAAGGAAGATCATGGAGGCCTGAGGAACCTGGGTCCTGGAGAACATTTGGATGTAAGAAATGAGGACAAGAGAAGAGAGGGGTCAAGACTGACTCAGCTTTCAGACTTTAGCTACTGGGGGCCAGGGAATATAGTAGAGAAGAGTTGGATTTGGGGACAAATGGTTTGAGATAGGGACTGCAGTTTGAAAATACTGAGTGTAATGATGTAGACATGATAGTATAAGCATAATAGTAATTTGTTGTTGTTGTTGTTATGTGCCGTCGAGTCGGCCCTGACTCATAGCGACCCCTCCTTGGGTTTC